GATTCAGACGCAGTACCGCAAGCTGGAGATCAGAGGAAGATGACTACTTTAGCAAAAATGCAGAGACAGATGGATACAAACTGTAAAGCTTTGCAATAAGTGTGACGCCCTGTATGCTGCCATCAGACATGGTGTATGAGACGCAAAACCTGTTAAATTAAGAGAAGAAATCCAATCTGTTATGTTGTATATCTGAGCGCTTTATGAGGCCATTACCATGGAATCTGGGTGCTTCGCATTCCATTTTAAATGAACACATCTAATAAAGTGAGTCATTCAATGGAAGACTCAAAAATAGAAAACTTATAATCACCCCCACTAGGGTTTGCATAACCTGCCATTCGCACGGTAGCATTGTATAACCCAGTGCTTTCCAGTTGTTCCAAAGCTCCTCAGGTGAACACTGGGTGATGCAAACTCCAAACCAAAGATCCCTGCAGGCTGAGCTGGGCACTCTGCGCTACCTCTGCTTCTCCAACCACTGCTACCCCTGTAATGAAGCTTTTGATCCTTCTGGCTGGGCCACTTGAAAGGTAGCTGCAGTGCTGGTGCCCAGGACCGCAATGAGCCAGGCTGTAATCAGGATTCTTACTGCAGGCAGTGCTACTCAAGAGCAGATACTGACAGCTTGCAGAATGCATCCATATAGGAAATGCTCAAAGAACATGGGAAAAAAAAAAAAAAAGGATGTAATGGGATCACATTAACACCCCACACAACACAATCATCTACCATGTCCCATGTAGCTGTTCTTGTTTGCTTCTTAAGTGACTAAAGCAGCTAACACTTTACACAGTATGTCAGACCACGCTAACTAAAGTAAGCATCTTAGAAGGCAGTAATTAAAGCTTCAATCAGCCAGCGCTGGAGATGCTTGCCCTGCAGCACTCCCACAAGCACCAAGCACCTCTGTGCTCAGCCTGCACAGCTCCCATCTCCAGGGCTGCCCTCTGCTCTGCTCTGCCCAGCAGTGAGACACAAAGTGGCGCGCTGAGAGGCAACCAAAGCCGGTTATCTCACAATCTGGGCTCTGACACACGCCCTCATGACTTCTGAATCTCATTCCTGCAAGCCACAGCTGTAAGTGAAGCCACACAGCAAGACAAGCTTCCAGCAGATGCAGAACTTGGCTGTCACCAAAACGCTGCTGAAGATGACACTCCGGATCCTCTCCTAAAGCCTCTGATGGTTACTTCAGGTTCTTAAATACAAGTTACAGCACTTTAATTAAACTAATTATCTCAGAACAACCTCACCAAGCAAGCACAGAAACACAGCCTATAATATCTAAACAGCTGGCAGGGTTAGAGTCCCTTGAAGCCATAGACCGCACTACAAATTTTAAGTTCCTACACCCTAAATTTAAAGCTCCCAAATCCCACAGGCCAACTTCCACTAATTAGTGGAAGCAAAGCAGCAGTTTGCCATATGGGGAAAATGCTGCCCACGCGGTGAGCGGGCCTGAAAGGAGCTGCATGGCATGTCACAAAAAACCACGGCAAAACAAAGAACAGCCCTCCTGTCCTCGTCCTTCTCTTGCTCCCCACTGCTTCCAACTTCCTTGCTGTTTGTGCTTAGGTGACCAAGACCTTCCCACGAGGGTTAGATGGCAGCCCAACTGCTTTAACCCTACAAGGGTTTAACATGGACTTCTCTCTCTCTCCTATTTGTATTTTTCAACTTGACAACTTCCTTTCCCATGTCACACACTACCATCACTCTCCAAAAACAAAACAAAAAACCTCACAAACTCAAAATAAAATAAAAACGTACCAACGAACAACTTGTCTTACAGATAAGGCAAGGAGGAGCTAGACAAAGTTACTGTATAGGTGTTAGCCTTTTCTGGCATTCCTCATTCACTTTGTATTTAATGCAGATACCTGACAGGAGCCCACCAGTTCAGCTTCATCCTAATACTTCTACCTACAGCTCCTTCCTTCACTCCTCCCACTCCAAGGCAAATAGTAAAGGAGAAAAGTAAAACTCTGTGTGTTAAACATATTACAGGACTGGGCATATGCAGACAGGTACCCACTCAAAGGAAGACAAACACATACAAACTAGGTTAATCATGGAGGCGTGTCAAGGAAGCAGCCTACTTTTACACCCAGAGTTGAACTCAGCTCCCAGCCAACAGCAGGGGCACGCAGTCAGTATCACTTTGAAAGAAGAACTAACACTTGGTTTGAGAAACACTTTGCGAAGCAAATGAGTCCCTCTCCAAGGCTCGGTACCCAGCCAGCAGAGGAACGCCAACCCAATCTCCATTAGCACTTTACATTTATAACTCTGGGCGAGTTCATCTGGCATTTGGAATCCTCTGAGGCAGTTACACGTTCGCTTGGGAACTTGGATCAAATGCGGTTATTTGGAGGTAGAAAATGCTTCTCCCCCTGCACCACTAAAAAAAGAAAATAAAAATCAATGCTATGATAACGTAGAAGAGTTCTGATTGCAAATTGTTTGCTCATGGTGTAATACAGGAAGTTTTCTGAAGCAGTGCTTTTTGGAAGAAGCAGAATATACCTGCATTGGCAAGAGCCGCAGCATTGCTGCGGTGCAGCCCTACAGCAGGTGCTGCTGAGAACAGCCTCCACAGTGCATCCATAGGGCACCTGCTTTCAGGAAGCCCCAGTCCTGCCCCACAAATACCCACAAAGCAGCTGAGGTACACGAGGTCTTCCTCATTTAAAGGAAGACCTTCCCACTTCTGTCTGATCTGCTTCAGACCTTCTCCACCCCTAGGCCCCAGCACTCACCTACCAACCGCTCAGCCTTTCCCACTCCTCCAGGAGCACACAGGGCAGGCAACCAGCATGCTTGCAGCAGGTCACTGGCACAGGCACCTTCTTCTGAAATCTGCACCAACAGACTCCCACCAGCTGCAGTGGCACGCTCACACAATGGAGCTACTCCCTGGAAAAACAGGCTTGGACTGCAAACAGAAAGCCAAGCCCTACATAGCTGACATCTACAACTGCACTATCAATCCCCTAGTTTAAACGAAGAGCAGCAAAGGCCCATAAGCTTTAGAAAAGATACATTAATTTTTGAAATCCTATTTGGCAGCATGTAAACTCACCAAAACGAGGCACCTGACAGATGCAAGCTGCTGCTCAACAGGGTTGCCTGCAAATGGAAGCCCTCATTATGTAAGAAGTAAGATATGTACACAGGGAAATAAATAATTGCAAATTGGACATTGGGGGGAAGGGGGGGGAAGCATATTTCTCTTATGTATTTGCTAAAGCATGAACAGCACTGTGAACAGTAAGCACACAGCAGAACCTGTATGAGCTTTCACTTGGAAAGCTGTGCACTGAAGGCCTTTGAACCCATCCAGTTTTCTATGCTTTTATTAGCAAGAGATTACCAGGCAGTAATGGATCTCTAGATTTAACAGTTCATTAAGCAGAAGGGCACAGCCTAGGACACCGCTGTCACTGTGCTCCTGTGTGTACATATATGCACACAGAACTAAGTAAAACAAAACACTCATCCACAGATTGTTACACACAAAGTAACACCATAAAGTAGTCGTAACGTCTACATAATTTTTCATGTTCACGTCCTCACTGAAAGCTTTCACCTGGTGCTACAGTGAATGTGCATGCTAAGTGTCTAACATTAATAACACTGCACTTGTTGCTATTATAGAGGAACCTATACCACATTACACCTTAACTATCAACAGTTAGATCTCCAAATACCACTGAGTCATTACTACTCATCACACATTGCTCCCATTGCTGCACGCTGCTGAGGAGCTGCATCTACATCAAATGAGAAAAGGGAAAGGCGTGATTAAATTCAGTTAAAAATACATCGTGCTGCCAACAGCTGCCTTCTAAGCCCGCTCCTCATCCATGGCTGGGATTATCTTACAGAGGGACCCGGGTGTCTTCAGGCTGGTGGTATAACAAGCCTTGCGTAAGCTTCGTGCTCGGGTAACTCTGGCTGGCAACATGCAATAGGGAGAGCAGTTCTGAGAAATTGCAGTGGAGAGTGAAAATAAGACACAAAAAGCACAGCCATTAACCTGAACGCCTTCAGAAGATAAACACAAGAGCCTGCAGTGGTGACAGCCCCAGGCACAGCTCTCCAAGCCCCTCGGTCCCTCCCTCTGCAGCCTCCCTGCACTTGTAACTAGATGCAAGGCTGGGCCGCGTTCCTGTGCCACTCCTCCCATCAATGCAACACTGTCCCTCGAGAGCTCGTGGCAGCGCGGCCAGCAGAGCCGCAGCCGCCCAACACGCACAGAGGGCCTGCTCTGCTCGTGGCACAGCACGCAGCCGGCAGGTCCGGGTGTTTTCTCAAAGCGTCCACGTGCAACCCCTACCCTTCTGCAGCCACGGGCTTACAAACATTTGACCGATTAAAGAGATAAGGAGCAGAAGAACCTCAGGAGTTCCTTATTACACCCATACACTCTCACCCAGGAGCAATGCCAAGTGTTCAACACAAGCCACAAGTGCTCCAGCCCTACCGTGCACAGCTCAGCATCCCACCCCACCCCCGCGCTCACATCCCGCCGCATCCCAGCCGCAGCACGGCCCCTTCCGCAGTGAGGAACGAGCAGCTGCGGGCCACCTGCGGGACACGCACAGCGGGACGCGGCGGGCCGGCTGCGGCTCCTCAAGGCACGGAGCTGCCGTTCACGGAGCCGCCGTGGGCTCCTCCGCGCAGCAGCCGCACGCCGCTTCTCCCTGATTCGCACCGGCTCCCCGCCGCTCCGCCGCTTACATAAAAGAGCCGAGGATGGGCCGCGGCTCCCGGCAGCTCCGCGCGATGGAGCAGAGCACACGGGATGCTCCGGCCCGCCGAACGGCCGCTGCGGCTGGGCTGTGCCGTGCCGGGGCAGCCCCTCGCCTCGCCTGCCTCACCCCGCCCGTCCCTCCCCGCGCCCCGCCGCCCGTTACCGGCACATCAGGGCCTGGCGGCGCGCAGTGGCCGTGCCGGTAGAAGGGCTCGTTAGGCCCCACTCTCCCGGCCCTTACCCCGTGCCGCCGGCGCTGCCGCTCGCGGAGGCGGATGCCGAGGAGAAGCGGTGCGGTTACGGAGCGGCCAGGCGGCCTCCCCGCCCCGGGCTATATTTGGGCGCGCCCCGGGGCCGGGCCGCGGCTGCCCGCGTGGCGCCGCTCCAACACGGCGCGGCCCGGCCCCTCCTCGGCCCTCCCCCGGCCCGGCCCGCAGCCGTCCCACAGCCGTCGTCCCGGCCCGCCCCGCCGCCCGGCGCTGCCCCGCGCTTCGGAAAGGCCGCGCCGCGACGCGCGGCCTCGGTTCGGGCGGACTGGGAACCGCCGGGACGGCCCCATAGAGAGCCGCTGGGGGCCGGAGCACCTCCCGATGGGGACGGGCCGAGAGCCCCGGGGCTGTGTGGCCGAAGGAGAGAAGGCTGAGGGGTCTGAGCGGCGCTGACCCGCAGCTGAAGGGCCGGGATGGGGCCAAACACACGTGGGTGCTGTGAGCTGCTGCGGGTCGGGATGGCGAGGATCCAGAGGCCGCTTCCACAACCACGTTGTGGGATTCTGGCGCCTCGAGTGGTTTGTGTGCAGTTCTGGGCCACTCGGTACAGGAAATACATGGAGGCCCTGGAGTGTATCCAGAGACAGACAACAGAACTGGGCAGAGCCTGGAATGCAGTCCTAATGGGAATGGCTGAGGGAACTGGGATGGTTCAGTCTGAAGGAAGCCCCGAGAAGACCTCATAGCTCCCTACAGCTCCAGAAAGGAGGTTTAGAATCATAGAATCACAAGGTTGGAAACGACCTATAAGATCATCTAGTCCAACCGTCTCCTCATCACCATTGCCACCACAAGCACTAAACCATATCACGCAGCACGTCATCCAGACGCCTCTGGAGCACTGCCAGGGATGGTGACTCCACCACCTCCCTGTGCAGCCATTCCAGTGCCTGACCACTCCCTGAGAGAAAAAGTTCTTCCTTATGTCCAACCTGAACCTCTTCTGATACAACTTGCGGCCATTGCCCCTTGTCCTGCTCATTGCCTGGGAGAAGAGGCCAAACCCCTCTTCACCACAGCCTCCCTTCAGGAGGTTGCAGAGTGCAGTGAGGTCTCCTCTAAGCCTCCTCCAGACAACAATCCCAGCTCCCTCAGCCGCTCCTCATAAGACTTGTGCTCCAGACTCCTCACCAGTTTTGTTGCCCTTCTCTGGACACGCTCCAGCACCTCAACATCTTTCCTGTAGTGAGGAGCCCAAAACTGAACACAGCACTCGAGGTGCGGCCTCACCAGTGCTGAGTAGAGGGGGATGCTCACCTCCCTGCTCCTGCTGGCCACATTATTTCTAATGCAGGCCAGGATGCCGTTGGCCCTGTTGGCCACCCAGGCACACTGCTGGCTCATGTTCAGCCGAACACCAACCAACACCCCCAGGTCCTTCTCTTCTCCACACTCATCCAGTCACTCATCCCCAAGCCCATAACGCTGCATGGGGTTGTTGTGGCCAAAGTGCAGCACCCGGCACTTGGCCTTCTTGAACCTCATCCCATTCACCTCGGCCCAGCGATTCCAATCCCTCTGAAGGGCCTCCTTACCATCAGGCAGATCCACACCACCTCCCATCTTGGTGCTGGGAGTTGCATCTGCAAACTTACTGAGGGTGCACTCAATGCCCTCATCTAAGTCATCAATAAAGATATTAAACAGGATGGGCCCCAGTACTGACCCCTGGGGGACACCACTTGTAACGGGCCACCAGTTGGACTTCACTCCATTCACCTTGACCCACTGGGCATGGCCTTCTAGCCAGTTCCTTACCCAAAGAAGGGTAGACCTGTCCAGGCCACGAGCAGCCAGTTTCCCCAGAAGAAGCCTGTGAGAGACCGTGCCAAAGGCTTTGCTGGAGTCTAGGAAGACTACATCAACAGCCCTTCCCTCATCTACTAGACTGGTCACCCAGTCATAGAAGGAGATGAGGTTGGTCAAGCACGACCTGCCTTTCACGAACCTGTTCTGGCTGGGCCTGATCCCCTGGACACTGCGCACATGCCGTGCAATCTCATCCAAGATGATTTGCTCCATAACCTTCCCTGGTACCGAGGGTCAGGCTCACAGGCCTATAGTTCCCCGGATCCTCCTTGCGGCCTTTCTTGAAGATGGGAGTCACATCAGCAAGCCTCCAATCCTCTGGGACTTCACCAGTTAACCAGGAGTGCTGATAGATAGTGGAGGGGGGCTCAGCAATCACCCCTGCCAGCTCCTTCAGCACCCGAGGGTGCAGCCCCTCTGTCCCATGGTCTTGTGACGGTCCAGATGGAAGACAAGCTCTCTGAGGTTGGAGCGAGGAAGGGTCAGCCTCTGCTCCCGGGTAACAGAGTCACAGAGTCACAGAATCACAGAATCACAGAATCACAGAATGGTTGGGTTGGAAGGGACCTCAAGGATCATGAATCTCCAACCCCCCTGCCACATGCAGGGCCACCAACCTCCACTTTTCATAGCAGCCCAGGCTGCCCAGGGCCCCATCCAACCTGGCCTTGAACACCTCCAGGGATGGACGGGGCATCACAGCCTCTCTGGGGAGCCTCTAACAGCAATAGGGCGAGAGGTGATGGCTTCAGGTTGTACCAGGAGATGTTCACACTGGGTATGAGGAACAATTCCTTCTCCAAAGAGCAGTCAGGCAGCGGCACAGCTGCCCATGGAGTGGTGGTCACCATCCCCGGGGCTGTCCCAGAGCTGTGGGGATGTGGCACTGAGGGACGTGGGCAGTGGACGTGGGGGGTGGCTGAGTGGGGTTGGGTGTGGGGATCTCAAAGGCCTTTCTCCAACCTTAATGATTCTTTGATTCTATAATTTCCTGGGATTTCAGCTGTTGTTTTACTTCAGGACTGAGGCAGTTCCCAGCATATAGAGCTGGATAGCAGGGAGCAGCTCTGTGCTGTATTAACATCATTTACCTACTGCAGGTCCTTCCCCACTACTAGAGTGAGGTTCAGTCTGGATGGCCTTGTGGGCAGAGAGGACCTTTGCAATGCCTCTGATTTGTGGTAGGGCCACTGCATTCCTAATGCAGATGATTCATGAAAGAACTGCTAGAGCTCCTGCCCAGAGAAGTGCGCAGTCTCTGGGAGCCTACCTTCGTAAAAACAGGCAGTGCCTAATAGGTGTGCAGAGACAGGTTCACGCTTTTCATTCCTGGTTGTTCCCAGTGGCCCCAGTGGCATGGAGCTGGCTTCTGTGGCTACCAATCAGTGATCTCTGCTACATCTCATCCTGGAGCTGCGGCTTCTCAGCATCCCTGCTGGTTTTATACCAGGGTTGGCAGAAGCACTAGTGAGCAGTTAGCCCAGTTTTTAACAAAGTAGAGGCCAGATTTCAACACTGCTGCCTCTGAGGATTAGTTAGCAGAGCCTATAGGGGAAGAGGCAGGAAACCTGCAGGACTGTGGTAGAGGTTGTGTTTGAGCTTTGTGGCACAGGGCATGGCAGGCTTGGTTTACCCTACTGAGCATTTCCTTCTCAAAAGTTCTCCGATCCTTTAGCTTTGCAAAATAGCAGATCTTGAACTTTTAACAGTTAAATGAAGCGCTAGGCCTATGAGACTTGAAAGTGAGTTGCATGACCTAGCGGTGGATTGCATTATTTCTGGAGACATTTTGTGTATCTTCTCTCTGATTACCCCTGTTGATTAGCCCCTTGTTCTGTGATAGCCAGGGCAGCCCTGACGGAGCATCTGCTGCGGTCTTTAAGAGCTCTCCATTTCTCATCCCATTTGCCACGTGCTGGGCTTCCAGGATCACAGCCGTCTGCCACAGTTGGCCGGTGTTGTTTTGCACACAGCAGTGATACGCCACGGTCCTCTCCTTTTCAAAGCTCCTGGCTGAACCCTTGGCTGCCCTGTACATTGAAACATGACACTGAAGTCATGTTTCCACGAGTGCTTGGGATCTCCTTTTCCATGCTAGACCGAAGCACCAGCAGACCTATGGCTGTGTCCAAAACCTCGTTCCCACAGGGCTGTCTGTGCCCAGCGGGATCCTGCTGACTGTAAGTCTCTGCTTTCCAGGCATCAGCCTCCAGCCATGCTTGTTGGCTGCCTCCCAGAAACTGTTTTTATTGCAGTTCTTTGTGCTCACTGCTTAGTCAATGTGCTTTACAGGCAGCAAGAGACGTGCTCTCTATCAGGCACAGAAAAACAACCTGCCGTGGGCATGAGCAATGGGCACAACTGCCCCCCACCACTGTCCCTGGGGTGTGCTCTGGCCTCCTGCTGGCAGCTAAATGTCAGCAACAGGTCCTTTCTGAGGGGCCATGGGAAACCAATCCCTCCCTATGGATCATATGTAACCGCAGGAGCTAAACTGGAAGCTGCAATAGTTATGTATAGCTATCAGCTCTCTAGGTGGCATTTAAAGGCTGTAAGCAACTGCATGGGTTGGCTTTCAGAAGTTTTGCAAAGTCAGGGATATTTGGGCTGGAAGTAGTTTTAATCCTAGACAAATTAGGGGATGTGGTCCTGCCTTTTCCTTTGAAAAGGAAACGAGATCCCGAGGGACAGCTGAAATAAGTACTCCATAGACCTTCAGGTACAGAATCTGTGGGAATACCTCAATTGAACAGAAGGAACAGAACATGGGAAGGAAAAAAAAAACAAACCCAGAAGATTATGGTTCTTTTAGGGACCAGGAAACAAGGATTCGGGTGCAATTTGCAGTCCTGAAGGTTGTTGTCCACCTGGATGTGGCTGCATTGTCAGTGCCCATTTATGGTACATTTTGATGGATTCAGAACAAGAAGGGGTTTGGCTACAAAGTCTGTCCACATCTGCTTTTTAAGTGAGTGCATTCTGCATCTCAGAACTTCTATATTCATGAATTCTTCCAAGCCAACACTATTGTAAAGGGAGCCGAAATGAGAGAGCTGTGCTTCTCTTCTCCTCACAGGGAAATCCTGGGAGTGAAACCTCTTGTAAAAGCAGCTGGGATGTTGTCTTGCTTACTGGTTGGTAAAAACTGGGCTTTGTAAAACAAAAGTGCAAGATTTGTAGAAGGCAAAACAAAACAACAACAACAACAACAAAAGAGGTGCTGTGTCTTGGTGTATCACAGAATTCCTTCAAGTCTGTGTTTTATTTTGTGTCAAAAATGTGATCAAAATAGATCAAAATTTTACCTCCCGAGCCTGT